CTTCTTTAAAGAGATTGATAATTTTGGCATCCATAAAGTCTGCTGGGATCTCTTCTTTCCCCCCCCCAGATTTTTTCAATGAGCTTGTGAAGTTGTTGTGTAAGTTCAATTTCACCTACTTTGAAGATTTCAGCAGGTATCCCATCAGGTCCACTGGATTTGTTGTTTTTCATTTGGTGAATAGTTGTACACAACTCTCCCAGATTTGGAGATACTGCAAGCTCATCTCTAACTTGTTTCTGCAGAATTTGTGAGAGGACCTCAGCAGCTATGGGGGAGTTGTGGTTAAGGAGATGTTGGTAGTGTTCTTTCCAGCACAGTGCAATAGCTTCTTTATTTTTTAGAAGTGTGGTACCATCTGCTAAGTGTAGGGGGCATATGCCATGACTTATTGGCCCATAGATGGTCTTTGTGGCTTTAAAGAAACTCTGTGCATCATGAGTGTCAGCTAAGTGCTGGATCTCTTGAGGTTTTTTTTAATCCACTGGGTGTTTTTTAGTTCTCTGGTTCTTCTTCGAACCTCAGCCTTAGCATTGGCATAGGTTTTTTTCTTAGTGGTGCAGTTTCTATCTCTTTGCCAGATCTGAAAGGCCTTCCTTTTCTTGTCAATCATGTGTTCAATCTCACTGTCATTGTCATCAAACCAGTCCTGTTTTGTTATCCAATAGTTTGTTCACAGGCTGCAATAATGGATGTTTTTAGCTTGGTCCAGTGTTCCTCGATGTTATCAGGGAATTCTGAAAGCAGATGGTCCTTAAGAGTCATTTGGAAGCAATCCCACTTAATGGGATCTTGAAGGGCTTGAGTGTTCATTTTGCACCTTGGTTTCCTTCCTTGAAGCCTGCGTTGAGGTATAATCTTGATAGCCATTGTGGAACGTATTAATCGGTGATCTGTCCAGCAGTCATTGGCGCTCGTCATAGGAGCACATTACATCAATCTTTAGCACAGACAATAACATAGTCTAAGAGGTGCCAGTGGTTTGACCGAGGATGCCTCCATGAAGTTTTTAATTTATTTTTCTGTCGAAAGAGTGTGTTGGTAATAACAAGGTAATAACAAGTGTGTTGGTAATAACAAGGTTGTGTGATGCACATATCGTCAAAAGTAAGATTCCGTTCTGGTTGCTGTTGCCAACTCCTTCTTTCCCAATTGTCCCAGGCCACAGAAATCTTGCCCAACTCTTGCATTAAAATCACCCAGGAGGATAATTTTATCTTCCTTAGGCGTCTCTGATAGGACGGTATCCAGCTGAGAGTAAAATTTTTCTTTAATGTCTTCATCGGCATCCAGTGTTGGTGCATAAGCGCTTATACAGTGGTACCTCAGGTTACATACGCTTCAGGTTACATATGCTTCAGCTTACAGACTCCGCTAACCCAGAAATAGTACCTCGGGTTAAGAACTTTGCTTCAGGATGAGAACAGAAATCGTGCTCTGGTGGCGCAGCAGCTGCAGGAGGCCCCATTAGCTAAACTGGTGCTTCAGGTTAAGAACAGTTTCAGGTTAAGAACGGACCTCCGGAACGAATTATGTACTTAACCTGAGGTACCACTGTAATAGTAGCCTGTTGGTTTTTGGTGAGCTTTATTTGAAGGATTGAGAGTCGCTCATTAATGCCGGTAGGGACTTCTGACAAAAACACGGTTGTATTTGATAGCGATGTTCTTGTTCAGATAGACCTTTCCAGAAGAATGTGTAGCCACCTTTTTCTTCCTTTGGTTGTCCCTCGCCTGCTCTTCGAGTCTCTTGAAGCGCTGCAATATCGATGTTAAAACGTTGCAGCTCTCTGGCAATTCTGCATTCAGGATGCTCGCTGTCTGTATTATCTGACAAAGTCTGTCTATTCCATGTTCCAAAGTTCAGTTGGAACCCCACTGCATGCAGTAATCCAGTCAGGGAAAAAGGGAAGCAGACTATGTTTAGGGCACCTTTTCTAGCCCCTTCCCCTTTTCGGGGTGAGCAGAGTGGATCCTAAAAAGGGCAGCTCAGTCATGGATACAGCTGCCGAGCTGCTCAACTGCCTCGTTCCTTGAGTCAGAATGACTGAATCTGTATCCACTGCCCATGTGCCGGTTCATGACTAGGGGATTCCAGATTTCACGATCCTGCCCCCCTTACCATTTGCCGATCGCCATGGGACTTTGGGGTTTTTTGGAAGATGCCTGTGCATGAATTTGTTTTATGTGTGTAGATCAGTACACGCTGATCAACACACACTCTTCGCAGTAGGGCTCTGTTCCAATGGCATGAGTAGTCACAACGAACCGGTAGATCCTATCTGCTGCAGCCTTCATCCGCCTTCACAGCCGTTGTAACATACCGCTTGTTATCATCCGCCTGTTCTGCTATTGAGGACTTCTTGGATCATTCTTTGTCTAGCTCCTTCCCTTTGACCTTACCGCTTTGGGTAACCCTGCCGGGAGTACGAGATTCCCGACGGCTTCACTCACAAGGGTCATAGAAACGTGCAAGCTCTTACAGCATGGCCCAGAACATTGCAGACAGTCATTCCTTCACCCTCGCCAAGATGGATCTCTCTTTCTTCCCCTTCTTCCCAGAAGCCCCTTGCCCCCCCCCCCAGAGCAGTTACCCCGCAACCTTCCAAATCTCCAGTCTCTGGTCACACCTGGGGCAAGGAGTTGTTGACGACCCTCAGTGGCTCTCCATTGTAATGCTAACAGCTCTGCTCTTCCGTCAGCCAGCCAGACTGTGGGGAAGGGAGGGCGGATATTGTGTTAAGGCAGCCCAGGAATCCCCTTGCAGTTAATATTCTGCCTTCATATCACAAAGAACTCCAAAATCCTAGAATTTATTAATTTCTAGGGTTTACCCCAAGTCTCTAACAATATTTCTTGATGTGAGAACTGTTTCACAAAACTCAGAGAAGGGTGAAATCTGAAGAATAATTACAAATTGATATGCAGACCAATATGCAGGCCAAAATGCCATCCTTCTCCATTCCTACTTGGTTCTGATTCCTAATTTGATCCCTTAATACTGACCACCACCACCACTCCTAGCACAACTTTTGGCTCCTGGTTCCTGGCTCAGCTCTGATGTTTAGGCTACATCTGCACCATACATATAAGGTACTATTATCCCACTTTTAGAGTCCTGGCTTTCCCCAAAAGGATTTTCCCTGGGAAGAGGGATTAACTGCTAAACCATTCTGAAAATTACAGCTCTGTGAGAGGAATTAGTTGTCTTTTCTCAGGACCCTTAACAAACTACAATTCCCAGGATTCTGTGGGGGAAGCCATAGTTGTTTAAAGTGGCGCAGTAGTGCTTTAAATGCATAGTGTGGATGTGGCCACAGTATGCGGCAGTAGTTCCAGCTGTTGTGGTGCTAGTCCTCCTCTTTAATTAGGGCATATGACAATTAGTTTTGAATCAAGAAATAGGTTAATTGCTTTAGGTTCAATTGAACAAGAAAAAAAGCCCTTGTGTAATGAAGTCTTAAACCGAACAGCAGATCTTGCAAGGAATTGTTTATATACATGTATGTATGTGTTATAAAAAAATAACATAATCAGAATCAAGGACTTCTAACCTTAGATGCAAAAGGCATATAATATCAGTGCCATCTCCAGGGGTTGGGGAGGACTTATTTATTTAGGCCATTATTTAGAGCATTTGTATGGCACTCTTCAGCCAAAAGCTTCCCAGAGTGGCTTGCATGCAATTCATTAAAACAAGGCAGTCCCTGCCCACAGGCTTACAATATAAAAATACACAACACACAAGGGGAAAGGAATGGGGAGGGTAGAGGAAAAAATCCAACTCAGACACCAGTTTTAAAGCAGTTGTTCTTATAATGACCTGCTGTCAATTCTGGGGCAGGAGGTACCTGATGGAGCTGACCGGTCACAGCAGAACTGATTAAGTGAGCCCTCCTTTCCATCTCTCCCACCGAGGCAGTCTGATGTTCTGGCAGTTAAGGGATTGGTTTGAGCCACCATCTCTGATGAGGGCATCCTCTGTCATTATTTCCGCCACATCCTCTTAGCTCAGTCCTCACAACCACCCAGTGGGAGAAGTAAAGGCTGCTGTTTAATCTACTGACTCTTGCATGCTATGAAGCAGGGGTCGGGGTGGGTGAGGAGTGTGAACAGGTAGCGGCAGCAATGAGGGGCTGCAGCATTATCAGGACCAGGAGACTCTGGGCACAGGCTGAGGAGCCTTCTGCAGGCGTATGAGCCTTGGTGAACGCTCAACAATGCTGCCACCAGCCCTGCCACCGGTTCCAAACTCTTTCAATTACATGCCTCTCTCTTACTGAGAGTCTGAGCTAGGAGATCTAGGAAATTTCCCAGTGAAAGATCACACATGCATACACACCCCAGGCATGATTTATTCTGTACATACTGATATTGCCCAAGCATGCAACTCCCTGTGGGGCAAACATCAGCTTCAGGAGGGGGCGGTTTCTATTGCAAAAATGGTGCAAAGGGAGAGGGCACTGTTTCCCATCTGCCCACCCCAAAAAGGAGGCAAACCACAAATTGTGAGTTTAAAAGAAAACAAGAAGTACAAATGAGGTTGTGCTAGATGGAACCTTCTTCCCCAATCCCAATCCAAAACCACCCCCAGTTTATTTTAGCACTTTCAAAAGGAAACTCACAAGAGACCCTATTTTCAGCTAGAGGGCCACAGCCCTTTCTGCAATGCCCTCAGGGTGGGTGGAGAGCAGATGCCAGTGGGGGGCAGAACAAGAAGCAAAAGAAGGCAGAATAATTAATAGGGGAAATTACCTTTATTAACTAGGTTACTTTCTACAGCCATTCATGCAGCCCTCTCTATTCTCCAATGCATTATCAGACTCCAAGGTCACATTCCAGCCAGGCAAAAACTATCAAGGAGAGTGTGAAGCAGGTTCAGTGAGGGGTGTGGCTTTGAGTGAGGAGGTGTGGTCTGAAGAGGGCCTTGAGGGCTGGATAGAAAGGGCTGCAGGGCTAAATTTAGCCCACAGACCTGAGGTTCCCCACCACTCACCTACTGGATAGCTCAATTGGTTAGAGCATGGTGTTGATACTGCCGAGGCTGCAGGGTCGATCCCTGTATGGGACAGCTGTGTATTCCTGCATTGCAGGGGGTTGGACTTGATGATTCTCAGGGTCCCTTCTGACTCTACCACTCTATCATTCTATGATCTCTACATCTTACTGTGTAATGGGCCTTTAGAAAAAGAGAGAACTGGGATACTTGATGGCCTCGTAATCTATCCCACATCACAGGGAAGCTGTGTTACTTTCATGAGTAGTTCTGCCTTGTTGTTTGTTGGGGAAGAAAGTGGAATGTGGATATGCACACCCTCAGCGTAAGCACCGTCTGTTGGATTTGCATGTAAAAGCATTTATGACAAGTCTTTCCCAATTTACTACTTCCTTGTGGTGATTCCTGGAACAGCTCTGTCAAAACAAAGGCAGCTATGTTACGGAATATTTGTGGCTTAAACGTTTGAAATGTCCTTGCAGAAGAGAGGCTTTCTTGGCTGCCTCTTTATTTCTGCTGTTATGTCTGGTGTCCTCCGTTTCACTAGAGAAATCAGGACTAGGCAAGGATCTATCAATTCATAAAAGCTACAACCAGGGGTTGTAGTGGCAAATTCAGAAGTGTATGGTCCCTTCAAAGCCACACCTCAAAGCCACACCCCCTTTGAAGATTGTACAACTTTCTTATACAACAGTCTTATCATTATACAGTAACTATACTTAGGGGTGTATTGCAATGATCAGTGCAGAATGCCATCTTTCAACTTGACCTATTTTCTGTGCAAACACACAGACAAATGATTTGGAGGGCTCCAATATTTTCTTTTGGTGTGTGTGTTTTCCTTGAAATTCCATTGCACGGAACTTGCACACCTTTCCCTTGAAACTGAAGCACCTTTTGTTTGCGGTGTTCCAAAATGATTAGCTTTGGATCATGAGCAACAACTCATCCTCAGTGTTCTTCCTGCACATGTTCAGCAGAATGACCCTAGGAAGTGATCCTCAGTGCTGACTCACCTCCTTTGCTTCTGAAAGGCTCTGATCAGCACAAAGAGAGCGAAGACTTCTTAGTGGCTAAAACACTCCCCTTTCATGTTAATTGGGCAGCTCCATGATCCCAGACCCTGCTACAGAGATAGAAGGGGTTCTTCTACACTCTGACATCCTCACTCCACTTGTGGTTGCAACTGAGTTCATACTAGAGTGAAAGGAAAGTGTGGACCATGGGTAGGCAAACTAAGGCCCGGGGGCCGGATCCGGCCCAGTCGCCTTCTAAATCCGGCCCGCAGACAGTCCAGGAATCAGTGTGTTTTTACCTGAGTAGAACGTGGTGCTTTTATTTAAAATGCATCTCTGGGTTATTTGTGGGGCATAGGAATTCGTTCATTCCCCCCCCCCAAATAGTCCAGCCCCCCACAAGGTCTGAGGGGCAGTGGACCGGCCCCCTGCTGAAACAGTTTGCTGACCCCTGGTGTGGACGTTCAACTTACATCGACTCTCACCAGCATTGCTCTACCATACAGCCCAGTCCGATGAGCTGCTGCACAGAGGCAGTGATGCAAAAGACATATCGGAAAGTCCGTATTCTCTCATTTGAACCTGTCTGGGCCTTTCTCCCTGTCCCACCAACCTCACAGGCACATCTGGTGGGGATGTGGAAGAGGGCCTTCTCTCTGGTTGCTTCCAGACTTTGAAACGCCTTTCCCAGAGGACTTTGACTGGCTTCCTCCTTGTTGACCTTTTGCCAGCAAGTGGAGACCTTTTTATTTTAAGAGGCCTTTAGGGACTGACTCAAAAAAGGGCTAGTGTTGTGTTTTTTTGCATAGAATCATCCCCCCTTTTTATTTTATTTTATTTATACAAAGTAATAATAATAAATAAATAAAAATGTGCACCCCACCCCTGAGACCATCCCGTTGTAACTATCCAAACTCCCAAAATTTCAACACCAGGGTTAAGCTGGTGTGTCTACCTTTGAGACAGCCGTTGCACATGCACAAATTACAGCACATTTGATGATGAAAGCTCCAAGGATAGGGGTTCAGTAGTGTTGCAAGCATGGGGAAACAAATCAGGTAATGTACGGTATATTGGGTGAAGATACCCCTTCTTCCTCCCTCGTGTATACAGCAATGTAAAAATGTGACTTGGAGCGCAGCTGGGGAAAATGACCTCGCTGCATTTTAAGCTGCTTAATAAATAGCCTTGGTCAGTTTTTAGTTTCACTTACCTTGAATCTCAGTTTACTGTGTTATCCAGATCAGGGTCCTTGGCTGATAGCAAACTCTGTTTAATCTAACAAGCCAGTTTCAGAAACCATGGATGGCCCAACACTGCCCTTTTGCTCAAGTTCAAACTTCCTCTGGCACAATGGAACTTTCCCCTTCTCTCCTCTCCACCACAGGCCCCAGTCCACCCTCAGAATCTGCTCCAGAGGTTTGGGGAACCTAACTTTGGTTACACATGAAGGGTAAGGGGACCATGCAAACCTGTGGTTTTTGTTGGCTCCTTCCTGCTCATACATGTTTCAACAAATCATGGTTTAGCATGATATGGAAACTAGCCCGGTATGTATTTTGATTTTATTTAGTTAAAATTCTTATATATTGCGTTTTGATCTTAAAAAAAAAACCCCCACAAAAAAGTAAGACAACGAACTAGAATTAAAATACAAATTCAACAATAAATCTGGTAGAAGCCAGAAGAACAGACAACAGGAGTGAAACTCAATACAGTGGTACCTCGGGTTACAGACGCTTCAGGTTACGGACTCCGCTAACCCAGAAATAGTACCTCGGGTTAAGAACTTTGCTTCAGGATGAGAACAGAAATTGTGCTCTGGCAGCACAGCAGCAGCACGAGGCCCCATTAGCTAAAGTGGTGCTTCAGGTTAAGAACAGTTTCAGGTTAAGAACGGACCTCCGCAACGAATTAAGTACTTAACCTGAGGTACCACTGTACATATTTTTATCCTACACTTTGGACCAAAAAAAATCTTCAGAGCAGCTAAAGGCAAAATAATATTGCAAGTGTGAAACAGCAATTAAAACACAAAAAGGCAAAACAGCCTCACAACAAATATGAAACAAATAAGTAGCAGCTGTATCCCAAATCAATTAATATGCAGCCCAAATGTCTGTTGAAACTGAAAAGCAAGTGATGATGAGGCCAGGGGGCTTCTCATGGGAGAGTTCTCCACAGTTTAGGTGCCACAACTAAAAAAGCTCTGTAGTGGCTGTTTATCCCCGCCCCCCGAGACCAGAGGTACACAGAGCAGGACCTCTGGTGTTGATTTGAGCAACTAGGCAGGTGCTGTTAGGCCTTGGCCATGAGCAGTGGTCTGAGCTGAATCCTGAGGCATGGGACAAGCCAGTAGTCGGAACCAAAGAGTAACACATCCAAACCCTACATTTTAAGAACTTACTACTTTAACTGTCACAACTTCTCCCAAAGATGCCTGGAAACTGTAAGTTTGTTCAAGGGAACCCTGCACAGAGCTAACATTCCTAGCACCAGGAGTGCCAGCTTGGCCCCGCAACTGTGGGTGCCCGGGGCCGGGGTGCCATATAGCATGCATGTCCCTGGCACCAAGTTTTTTGGGTGCCCAGCCCCTTCATGGGGAATTTTGTGGGTGCTTGGGCACCCAGGGCCCTAGGGAGTTGGCACCTATGCCTAGCACCCTTAACAAACTTCAGTTCCCAGGATTCTTTGGGGGAACTCATGATGGTTAAAGTGCCATAAATGCAGAGCTTTTTTTCAGGGGAAACTTTGAAAAACTCTGGTTGCTTGTGTCCCTGCTATGCACAAGGCCTGAAGTAAGAAGTACAACCACACATAGTTTTTGTTTGGTTTACTCAGTAAAATGTTATCAGGACTTTTCTCTCTGGGCTCCTTCTGTGCCATTTAAGTGGTTTTGCTAACAAGAGGCACTTAATCCTTTTGACTGCAGGTAGTTTTTCTTAAAGTTGCCTTACTACCCATAAGCAAGGGAAGTGCTAGGTCCATTTATTTTTTCTTCTGATGGGAGCAAAGTAAGTGGAAGGAAGTGTTTTTTGCAAGAAAATGGCGGACAGGGAAAGCATTAACCTCTCTGCCAGTGCTCTGATCAGACTTGGGAGCACTCTGCGGCTGCGGCAAAAACAGAACCCCATTTGGACACAGTTCACATCGCTTTCTTATCATGTCCTGGGTGGTCTGTTGCCAAAGAACTCAAGTCTGTGGTTTCTTAAACTTTGCCTTGCATTATGCAATTTATTTATTTTTAAGATTCCTTAAAATCTAATTGGAATGAAGGTCTAACAGATTTGCTTTGGGAATATGAGGAATTTTAACGATTTCCTGTGTAAAGTCTGAGGGTCCTCTTTGGTCAGTGAGGAATGATACTGTTTGAAATAGCAACACTGAATTTTTGAAAGGTTGGTGTGAGCTCCTTAAGGAAGATGTGGATGGCAGAGGAGAGGGTATTCATGGAGACCACACAGCAGATCTGTAATATATTCTAATCAAAATTTGTTTTAGATATGAAATAGCAAACCAAGGAAGGACTAAAGATACTGTAGATCTGAACTGGACTCCATTTCAATCCAACAGAAGACTAATTTAGGAATGTAGGAAGCTACCTTTCACCACTGGTCCAAGTAGCTCAGTGTTGCCTGCTACACTGACTGGCAGAGGCTTTCCAGTAATTCAGACAAGTGTCTCTCCCAGCTCCTGGGATCTTCTGCATGCAGTGCAGGCTATGGCCCTTCCTGAAATGGAGAGTGTGCATTTCTCCACCTTACATGGATCCATCATAACTTCCAAGAACATAAGAACATAGGAAGATGCCTTACATTGAGTCAGACCATTGGTCCATCTAGCTCGGTATTGTCTACTACACTGGCTGGAAGTGGCTTTCCAGAGTTTCTGGCAGGTGCTTCTCCCAGCCTTACCTCCTGATGCTTAGGATTGAACCTGGAACCTTCTACATGCAAGGCAGAAACTCTACCTCTGAGTTACAGTCCTTCCCCACTCTCCAGTTATCCAGTTCCTTGCGGTTTCTTCACTTGACCACAGTTAGTCCCAAGTAGTTTCTCCATGAACAGTGCCAGCTCCGAAGTTTAAAGATCTCAGGCAATGCACACACAGCTCCCTTAACTTGAAAGAGGTGATCCACTACTGCTCCCGACCTACTTGGATGTTTGGTGCAAAAGGTCAATAGCGCTGGATGGTCCTTTGTCCAGTCCTGCCATGGAACTATATCAAACCCATCCCCCCCAACCCCAGTTTGTCAAGCATGCAGCATGGCAACCCAATTGGTAAGTGGATCTGTGCAATCCTTCCAAAGGAGCTCCAGACCAAATTGCACATTACATTAACTGTGTTAAAATATTTAACAAAGGACTTGTCCATACTTAATTCTATGATTCTGTATAACCTTTTGTAAATGGAGCAAACAGCAATTCTCGTTTTCCATGGACTGCCAGTAATGAGTGTGTTTTCATGGTGGAAGTGGTGGGGCAAACACACAAACACACACACACACACACACACACACACACAAAACCCACCTCACAGACCCAGAAAGCGCAGACCTGTGCCTAGAAATGTGGAACAAAGGTGAGTATGGATGAAACCTGTATATATAGTTTAAGACAATTGCTGCCACAGCCCCTTCCAGTCCTGGTTGAGAAGCAAAGCACCTGGATGAGGTCTTTAGCCATTTCCTCTCTTGCAGAAATCATGGGTGGTGGTGGGGAAATCCCTCTCACACCACCACTGAAATTGAAATTTCCCCCCTTGAGAAAATTGCATCTGGAAGGAGGGGGATTTAAAGCCTCAGTAGGGAAGGAATGGGTTAAAGCTACAAATGACCTACCTACACCCTCGCCTTGCTTCTTCTAATTATTTATGAGCAGTTTTGTTCCCAGCATTGCTCTGGAATTCTCAGAAGCCAAAAAGTCAGTAAAATCAGTCAGTGGTTAAAACCAGGACGTTTATTTATTTTTTAAAGACTCAGTCTGCCATCTTAATTCAAAATGGTGTCGGCTGCATCCAAACATAGAGGAAAACCTGCTCCTCGATCTCAGGAACCACCTTGCTAAATTTGGCTGTGGTATCTTAAGAGGTGTCCAAATGCATAGCAAACAAACAGATGTCCAAAATATATTGTAGATTGCTATGCTGATATCCAAGCTTTGCTCCCAGGAGCTCAATGTGGTGTGGACATGTCTCCCCCTCTCCTAAGAACATAAGCAGAGCCTGCTGTGTCATATCAATGGCCCATCTAGTCCAGCATCCTGCTCTCACAGTGGCCACCCAGATGCCTATGGGAAGCCTGGGAGCATCACCCAAGCACAAGAGAACCCTCCCCTTCTGCGGTTCCAAGCAAATGGTATTAAGAAGCATTACTGCTTTCAGCTGTGGAGGTTGATGAGCCTGTAGCCATTGAGAGCCTGATTATCCTCCATGAATTTGTCTAATCCTCTGTTAAAACCATCTAGGTTGGTGGCCATCACTACTTTCTGCGGGTTGTGCTGCATAACGAAGGACTTTCGTTTATCTGTGCTCTTTATCCTCAAGCATCCTTGCATAGAAGGTTAGGCAGATAATGGCTGACCTAAGGTCACTCAATGGGATCCATGGAGATTTGAATCCTGGTTTCCCAAGTCTTCGTCCAATGCTCATCGAATTAGTTTTTATTTAATATTCTTTGTTGTTGTTTGTCAGGCATTTTGGAACATTCTATCCCATACAGTACAGCAAAATAAGTACACCAAAACATCCTAACAAACTCTACCAACTTTCTTCCCAGGGACACCCTGATTTGTAGTATAACATCAGCTATTCCCTTATAGTAGTAGTGGATTGTAAAATATAACAAAAATTAAATAAAAAGAACCTTTTGCTGTACTGTCTACATACTGGCATAAACCTTTGGGGCTGGTATTTTGTTTTCCAATGTATTTGTGTGAGTAATAAAGTCTCACAATTCTCCATCTTCTGTCTCCTTGTGTTTCATTACTCTTGTTAGCTTCAGTATTTGCCTTAATTTCTCAGTAAGGGTTGCTCACTACACTCTCTTCTACCAGGATGTTGGGGTGACTCCTTTAAGCTCTTTCCAAAATGTGGTGATGACCACATGCACCACTGTCACCAAAAATCAGTTTAACAGTTTTAATTGGATTTTGAATAAATGCGCAAATAATTAGCGTTTTGAGTTTTATAGTGTTGTTAGTGGGTTGTGCAAAATGCTATTCTGAATAATGCTTTTTATAGGGTAGGGGGCATGGGGGATAACTTTATGGAACCAAGGGGGGCATTGGCTTGAAAAAGTTTGGGAATCACTGCTCTAACCACTACACTGCACTGGTTTCTGCACTATGTGGTTCTTCTGCCTTGAGCCTCCTAGGTCAATGGAGGTTGATCAGTGTGGAAAAGTACCTGGGTCTATACGTGACTGATGAAGCCTGCTGAAAAGGCCATGTACCTAAAACCTGTTTGGCAAGAACTTCCTTCAGGGGCAGAAGAAAGCAGAGTACTTGGTGTGTTTGGAATGCAACAGCTGGGATGGAACCGCTGAGGCAATATTTATTGTCTCCTTTTGGCTCTCTGGATGAAAGGTACCATGAGCAAGAGAGATAAGCAACATTTTATAGGGTTTGCTTAGTGCTTCTTATTCCACTGGAAATGTGCCTTAAAAGAAAGAAAAGCACGTTCCCATTTCAGTAGCACCGCCTAAGGATACTCCGAAGTCATCAAAGGACATTCTAAAGTGTGCCAGCAACTAGACTTTGGGATTCCCATCTATAGACACTTTCGCTGGTACTCTTTTAGGCACGTAGACATTGGCATGTTTTAATTTTGTTTGCTTACCTTATGATAGAATTGTTTAGTTCTTTATTGGTCCTGTTTATATATTTGTATATTGTTTTTCTCTGTTTATTTTTATTACTTTGTTCCCCACTCTGGCACTGATAGCACTTGATGAAGAGTGGGCTATGAATATTTGAAATAAATAAATAAATTCTTTTAACTACTATTTTTAAAATAATCTTTAAATGTATTTAATTATTTTTACTAATCAACTTAAGATTTATTTTAAAACCACAGGTTTGTTGTGCTGATAAAAGGCATCAGGTGGAGATTTCCATGTATGCCTTCCTGAGACCCTTGCAGAAACAGAGGCACAATCAAGTTTGGATCCTGACAAGACAGAAGTACTGTTTGTGGGGGACAGAGTATGGGTGTGGAGGACTCCCTGGTCCTGAATGGGGTAACTGTGCCTCTGAAGGACCAGGTGCGCAGTCATTTTGGATTCACAGCTGTCCATGGAGGCACAGGTCAGTTCTGTGTCCAGGGCAGCTGTCTACCAGCTCAACCTGGTACGCCGGCTGATGCCCTACCTGCCCGCAGACTGTCTCACCAGAGTGGTGCATGCTCTGGTAATCTCCCCCTTGGACTACTGCAATGTGCTCTACATGGGACTACCTTTGAAGATGACCCGGAAACTTTGACTAATCCAGAATGTGGCAGCTAGACTGGTGACTGGGAGTGGCCGACGAGGCCATATAACACCGGTCCTGAAAGACCTACATTGGCTCCCAGTATGTTTCCAGGCACAATTCAAAGTGTTGGTGCTGACCTTTAAAGCCCTAAACGGCCTCAGCCCAGTATACCTGATGGAGCGTCGCCACCCTCATCATCCAGCCCAGACACTGAGGTCCAGCGCCGAGGGTCTTCTGGCAGTTCCCTCACTACGAGAACTGAAGTTACAGGGAACCAGGCAAAGGGCCTTCTCAGTAGTGGCGCCTGCCCTGTGGAATGCCCTCCCACCAGGTATCAAGGAAATAAACAACTATCTGACTTTTAGAAGACATCTGTTTAAGGAAGTTTTTTATGTTTGACGTTTTATTGTGCTTTTAATTTTCTGTTGGAGCCGCCCAGATGGGTGGGGTATAAATAAATTATTATTAACATTAACATTGACATTTATTTATTTGCTTATTTATTTACGACATTTCTATCCTACCCTTCAGCCAAAAAAGGCTCCCAGAGTGGCTTATATGCAATTGATTAAAACATGACATTCTCTTCATGCAGGCTTAGATTTAAAAACAAAAAACTTGACACACAAGGGAAAAGGGACAGGGAGGGAAGAGCAGGGGGGTGGAAAGCAAATTCAGGCACCAATTATTAAACAGTTGTTCTAATAACAACCAGTTTGCATAGTTCCGGAGGTACCTGATGGAGCTGGGCTTTTGGCAAAGCTGATGGAATGAGGCCTGCTTCTCATTTCTCCCAGCCACATGACAATTGACAGAGATAAAAACATTGATAACTCTCCCATGATGCATACAGGTGTACTCAGTCATGGCTGACCATGGAATGAACACCCTCAAAAGGTGATGGACTCTCTTTCATTGGAAGCTTTTAAAGCAGAACTTGGATGGCCATCTGTCACTGATGCTTTAGGTGAGATTACTACATTACAGGGGGTTGCCCTAGATGACCCTCAGGGTCCCTTTGAACTCTACAATTCTATGATTCTATGGGAAGCATCCATGAGCATTAGAATGCCATTATATCTCACTCTGACTGCGAACTTTCTGTCTTCCCTTGTGCCCAGCTTGTGCCAGTTAGATACAATAAAAGCAATAAACCCCCTTCCCTGCCACCATTACATTTGTGGTATGAAAAGTTGCAGAATTTCAACAGAAAGTTACAGGAGATGCACTGATTGGAAATGAAGGTGCATGTCCACCCTGAAAGTTTTGCAGGTGGAAGCCATATTGAAAGCAGGACCGTTTATAACTACCCTGATACCATAAGAGCCAACTTGTAGGGACAGAGGTCCCTTTGCCCCCCCAATAAACTATTTGAGGTGGCTGCCCCCAAAAGCTAATGGGCATTGCCTCCCGCAATATTTTATTCAAGTTGGCAAGCCTGTCTGACACCATCATGGGCACAAAGGCACAATGAAAAAGGGGCCTCTTAGTGGGGGCCGTTGGCTCTGCTGCTACTCTACCTCCTCCTTGATGTCTCAGAGAGTTCACCATCCCACTCTAAGTGAATGCACAGTAACTGAAGCAAGCAGAAGACACCGGCTCTGCTCAGGAGAAGAGAGTGCATGAATGTGGCAGTGGCAGAAATGAGGAAGAGGAGGAGGTGAGAAAAGATGAGTAAGAGGAGCCATAATCAAAGTTTATATGGAGCAAGTGGGTAGGGAAAAGTTGTCGTCCCCACTTGCCCACCCCCCATCTCTCATGACACTAGAACACATGGGCATCCTATGAAACTGAATCCTGGAAGATTCAGGACAGATAAAAGAAAGGACTTCCACTCCAGGAGGCAGTGATGACCTCCATCTTGGATGGCATTAAAAGAAGATTAGACAAATTCATTAAGGAGAAGGCTGCTGGTGGTTCTCTCTCCACTGTCAGATGCATTATGCCTCTGCAATACCATCTGCTGAGAATGCAGGTGAACAGAGTGCTGTTGTATTCATGCCCAGTTTGCCGGCTTCCCAGAGGCATCTGGTTGGCCAATGTGAGAACTGGATGCTGGACTAGATGGGCCATTGGCCTGACCCAACAGGTTTGTCTCACGTTCTTTTTTTCTTAGAGGAATGGAGAGTGTCTTGGCCCAAAGACCACTGAAATCTGGACCCATTACCAATTGCCGGGATTCACAAGTAGAGAGAGTGATGCTGCACTCAGGTCCTGCTTGCAGGTGTCCCCTGGGCATATGGTTGCTCCTTTGAGAACAAGATATTGGTTTAAATGGACCCTTGGCCTGATCCTGCAGGGCTCTTCTTATGTTCTTAATGCTGTGTTTTCCACCACCACTCCAGCTTCATTCCCAGCCCTCACTTTCATTTCAAAATCAGACTTCAACCTAGGGTTGAAAAGCAGAGCCCTGAAGGGGGAAAAGAAATATGTGAAACCAGTCTTTCTTCTCACATTGCTGAATCACTGCGGGTTGTATTTAGGACAATGTTCAAGACTGTTGAATTGCTATATTCAAATGTTCTGGTGATCCTCAGTGACAAAACATCTTTCACATCCTGTCATGCAAAAAAAGAAAAAGGCCCATTAAATGATGGCATCAGGGCGTCAAGGCTTTAAGCTTAAACTAGAAAATCAGTTGGAAGCACATCAAAGGATCGTCACCTTTTCAAGTGATTGCAGCAATGGTACAAGGTGGCATTGAAACCACAGAAATGGTTGTTGGCTTCCACCGCCTGGTTAACATGGAAGAGGATCCTTGTAACCCTGGATATGAGAAGGGAAGACTAGTTTGTATGTGTGAGCTGGGGGTAGGAGGCAAATGGCATTTAAAGGCAAACCTCACAGTTTTCAAAACAATATGTGAACCAAAACACAGCCAATCCTTCGGAATCCACACTTCACTAATTTTTGCAATGCAGTCCACCAGCCAGTTCATGTGTGCTCATATGTATGTGCATAAAAATGCATATATTAGTGAAAATAAAATACAAAAGTGCATAAAACTGAGGGAAATTGCTTTGCAAAAATGTGCTTATTACGGGAAATGGCACATGTGAGGAAAAATTCTCATTCAAATGCTGAAAGATTTTCATGAGGGTTTTTAAAAATTGCAACCTGATGTCAGAATGTGAAGAACTGAACTGGAGATTGGAAAACAAAAACAAACAAACAAGAAAGTGAGAAATCCCCAAGAAAAACCTTTGCGAACCCCCAAAGGCATAGTCTTTTTCCTGTCACCCAAAGTCATACCTTTCCACTGAATGAGAGTCTTTTGCCCTTCACCTCTCTGCTTATCCAATCAGAAAAAAATTCATTATATGGAGAAGTGGTGCTTAGATTTCCTCAAATGTTTTCTCTCTAACTGGCGTTCCAGACAGGTGATTGCAGAGAAGCAAGTGTGACAGCAGGGACCCCTTCTGAACCAAGGTTAGATACTTTTAAGTGATAAGCATTTGAACAAGTGTACTACTTAAGTGTTCACTATATATTTGGAAGGGGTCACCTCTTAGGTTTTTCCCATGTCACCTCTTAGACTCTGCCCAGGTTCACAACTAAGTCTAGCTGCCACCAAACTCCACTTCTGGGGACCCATGGTTGGAGAACACTGATCTAGATAATCTGCTTCATCCCAGGGTGCCTAGAATTGAACAACTTGTCAAGGACCTTGTCAAAAAGGGGGCTGTTAGCAACTGGGCATATAGTTATTTCAATCTTCCAGGTCTAAAGAGGGTGTCTTATGAAATGTCAATGCAACTGCCTCCTTGGCTTAGCTATGCACTGGTTGCCAGCATGTCAGAATTGGCAGCAATAAGTTTGCATTTGCTATATTATTGTTATTATTACAAGTGTCTCTTTTTAATCCATTCCATTAAAGAATTTTATCTGGTCCCTGGTGATGCGCAGGATGGGATGAAAAAAAGAAAAACATGCTTTGGCAAATATGTACTGTTATATTCAAGAAGACAATGTTTCATTGAAGGTATAGTACTTTGTTATTGGAAGTGTCAGAGTCCCATTCAGCCCCATGAATCAGTAATTAGCTGGCTTTTCAGGCTACATAAAGAAGCTGTTAAATGCCAAAAGACTTCCCTAAACAACCCTAAACAACCCAAGCTCCATTTGGCCTGTATGTGTAAGACAAGTTCTGAAGAGTAACAACTTCCTCCTTGATTGAAGGATTCATTCGCAAGGAGAAGGAGGAATCAACATGGAAGTTGATAGGGTTTCTTTTCATGAAGCCTGGCAAAGCATCTTGTTATATGGACAAGCAATGGAGAAAGTGTGTGTGTGTGTGTGTGTGTGTGTGTGTGTGTGTGTGTGTTAGGCTCAGTGCTTTTTTTCTGGCGGTACTCAACGTTATGCAGTACCAGCAAACCCCCCCTTTTTTTCAAATAAGGGCAAATGGAGGGTGGGGAGAGCAAGCAAGCAACCTTGGCTGAAAGGGGGATTGCGAAAAGCAGGAGGCTCAGGAGGTGATGAGGAAAATGAGGCCCTTGTTCAGGGCTTTAGTTGCCACTCTCAGTCAACAGGTTGCACCGATCCCCCTTGGCTACCCTGCAATGCGCTCTCTCCCCTGGACAAGCTGCCATTCCGCTACCTCGCTGCACTGTGAGCACCCGGGTTCCCTTTCATCACTGCTCACTCTTTCCATGTCTGCCAGGTGGGGGAAGTGAGGGAGGTAGAGAGAAGGAGAAGAAGGCAACAGCCTCAACCGTCCTCAATACTGTGACTGGGGCAAGCCATAGAAGGAAAACGAGGAGGAGAAGAAGGGGGATGGAGGGATGCTGGGTAGAGCAGATGGGGTAAGGTGGGGGGATAGGTTGAAGAAGGGGGAGGGGCGCACAAAGTGGGGCTTTAATTAATTGTGGGGTGGGTGGGTGAGTGAGAATGTGTGTGAGAGAGAAAAGCGAAGGAAGAGTATAGACACATCTTTTTCTAGGAAAAAAAAGCACTGGTTGTGGCCAACTATGTTAGAGTATACCCATTTATTTCAGTGGGTCTACTTTGTGTAGGAGATGTTGGAGATGACCCTATGTGCATAAATATGAAAAGTTGAACCTTTAAATCCAAGGTGGGGAATCGGGGGCAGGGGGCATGCCTCTGGCCCTCGGGACTCACCCTAAGAAATGTGGTCTCCTGACCACACCCTTCTCCCCAGGCCACCCTTTTAGGACCCTGATCCATGCTGTCCTCAAGTGCCTTTCCCTG